GAAAAGAAAAGAAAAGAAAAGAAAAGAAAAGAAAAGAAAAGAAAAGAAAAGAAAAGAAAAGAAAAGAAAAGAAAAGAAAAGAAAAGAAAAGAAAAAGAAACTTTCTAGATAGCAACTTTCAGGGTGGGGAACTTTGTCCATATTTTTCTTCTATTAAACTTAAAGTATTACATATATCTTAACTCTCATTATGTGGTATTATAAGACAGAGTCCTTCAATATTAACATCTCTAAGACAAGCACATTTGGGCCACTGCAAACATAATATGTTAAATAGTCTCTAGGGAGCTTGATGACTAATACATCTTTTTAAAGGAAATTACTTACAAAATCTAATGCCAAGTCTTTTATATTTTTTACTCTTTACAAATAAATTAGAGAGGGACGAAATAATGTAATACACAAAGTACTTAACACTAAAATCAGTTATGGCATCTACTTTTGCTCCTTCAAGGATTTTTCTCATTGGAAATTTTATGTCACTAAGCTTTACCTGGAATTATTTGTTTGTGTTTGTTCAAGTGTTAGTAAATAGAATTTAATATTTTTCTCCATATTTATGCCTTTCATTTATTTTTCTTTCTTTAATGTTTTTCTTTAATAGCACTAAGAATTCTCTTAGTGAGAATAATTGTTCAAATAGAGGCCTTGCATTGGATTTTCTACCATACGGCAATTCTTGTTAAGAAAACAAAGTGCATTGGATGCCATTTTTGTAGCATTTTAATTAAGGTAAGTTATTGCACAGACCTACTAACTTTTAAAAATGAACTATAAATTAGTATTATTCCTTTCTGTGGTGTGTTTCATTTTCCATTTAATAACAGAAACCCTGGCTAACTATAAAGGTCAGACAAAAGCAGCCTTACCATCATCATATTGTCCAAAGCAGATTGCAGAGAGAGAGCCAAGGATAATCCCAGGGGCTAACCATTTCCAGAGATAAAACTGTTGTAACATCTTCTATCAAGTTCCACTCAAGGCTGATCTGAAATAACAAGAGGGAGAAAGAAACATTTGACAAGTTCATTAATCTGTTATAGGTAAACACAACTGTCAAAGCACAGAAAAGTCTTAATGACTTCATAGTTAATTACTTGTGCCATGTTGTCCATTAACAAAGTAACACACTTGTTCAATACACTGGAACTCTTCATCCACAGGAATTTGCAGACAAGTAATCTCTGAGAAAAGACATCTTCTCCGTTACTTACTTTGTAAGCAAGTAAGTTGAAATTTAACATACTGATAATATCAGAACTACACTCTCTTTAAAATTGAGACTCTGTGAGTGAATCACATGTTAACCAATTTAAATTATGAAATTTATCTTGTCTATAGCACAGTTCGATTATTAAGTGTAAATTGTTCCACAGCAATTTAAGACAGTAAACCAGTTGTTAGTATCCTACATTTGTTTTACACAATTAAGTATAAAGCACAATCATTAAAATGCTAATTCTTTTTAGTACAGTGATAAGAGATTGATTTACTATGCCAAGTAAAACTAAGCATAAACCATCAATTTTTACCACATCTGTCCTTTGAAGCATTTGGATAAATTTTGTTTTAATTTATCTGTTTTTCTTTGCAAGCTCCCAGTAAATAAAGAAATTGAATGAGATATTAGTAGTGAACACACCAAAAAATCTTATTGAAAGAATGATGTGCTCTCAGTTTCTTTGTAAATTGAAGAATTTATTCAATTGCTCAAAATAACTCTGATTACGGATCATGGTAGAAGAAGGATAGGAACTCTGTTTCTCTAATTCAGAAGTTCCAAACTCAAATGGCTACAGGGGACAAGAAGACAAAAGAAAAGAGTGAATTAACCTAAAGGGATAATAGGATGAGGAAAGTCGTGGTAAACTGTGGAGTGCAAGATTTGTCTGAAGAGACCAGCTGGTGCTCAGCTTTTGTCAATAGTTGTCTGTGGAAATGCAAACCAGTGTTGCCAGGTCTTCTAATTTTAAAGAAGATGGTAGAAATCCAAATTTCCATATGAGATTGCCCAGTGTTTAAATATTGTCCAATTCTCTTTACAGACTAAATGCTTCTGGCTAGCCATATTGTTCTCTGAGATCCTTTGGTTTATGACTCCTGCCCAAGATTGTCTCTCCTAGACTAGTTGTTGATAAACTTCTTCAGAATGTACAAAGGAAATATTTCTAGTCCATTACAGAAAATGACTAGAAAATGTTCAGAACACATGGCTCAGAGATTTCAAGGAATATGGAGACCTAGAATAGCTTGCTGTCTTGCTCCCCTGAAACCTAGGGAAATTTAATGCATTCATTGTCTCAAATCTGGAGTACGCGAGTAATGGCTTTAATTTTTTTTTTTAATGTGATAACATGAAGAAACAGAAAAAGTAATGAAATAAAAATAAAGAAAAAACACTTAAAGGGTATTTATTAGTAAAAAATTAAAGGAAAATGATTTTTATCAAACGACAAAAGAACAAAGTGCATTCCCTTGTGGGTCCTTAATCTACTAACTTGACTTCCCTCTTACTAGCTTAGTTTTTAGTATTATGCTTTTATAAATATGCTATTTTCTTTTGCTTCAGACTCAAACCTTTTGGTTTCATTTAACAACCTTCAAGACGAAAACAACCGAATGTGTCATAATTTTAGAATCATTAAAGCCATTGATATTATTATGTGTTCAGAAAAAGAACTTCTTGATTTGTAATCCTGTACATCTATTAATTAGATTATATTTTTACTTTAGAAGACATCATAATAAAAACTTGTATAAAAATCATTTAGAATAGATAACAATTCTTACCACATGGAGCAATAAGAATATTTGGAAGAATGTGCTACACTTGTTTATTTTTGAATAAGGAGAAAGATAACAACTTTTCTATCTTATATTTTTACTACTCAATTTATATTTGCATTATTTTCAAAACAATTTTAATCATTTCAATGGGCTCAATATTTACAGTCACCTAAAAGTTATGACTCACCATATTGATCTGATATCTCAAAATATAGAGCACATATTAACTTAATAAGAAAATTCAGTAAAGATATAATAAAAAGATACCTCTTGAAAAGAGGCTATACTCTCCATTCAAAAGACTAAAGACTAGAATGTTTAATACACTTATTGTGCTAATCAGGAGACAGTGGCATTTCTGTCATCAAATAAGGTAAAACAAATCAGACACTAGACAAGAAACTCTTTTCATTACTAGTTTTACAATCACTAGAACTTCAGGAAGAGTTCTTATAGATAAACCCCCAAGTCTTGTTAAATGATTGTGGACAAATTAAAGGCATTTCAAACAACATTTCCAACATGGTGTTGTACCTTTATTATAAAGTCCTTTTCGAACTCTGCCATGTTCTCTGAGTACAAATTTTCCCTCCAATTCTCCTTGGCCACTGTTGTTATGCTCTAGCAATCTAGACCTTGCCAGTTCTAAAAAGAAATGTAGCTGATCTATAAATAAGTTGATCATACCTACTTTTCAGGAGATAATTTCATTGGCATATTCAACACTCTAGCATATCCAATAAAGATAAGTTTTGCTATAGTGATTTAGAAATAGTATTCTACTGTCAAAAATATTGAGGAATAAAAGCATTCCCAATTATGTTATAATCTTACATGTAAGTAGTTTGAAGCTCATGAAATTTATGATATATTTTCCATAGACTTAATATTTTACTGCATTACTCAAGATACAATATATCATTTTTGAATTACACTTCATTTGTATTCCCTACCAGATAAAGCTCATATTTATTTCTCTGGCATTCAATGTTCTTAGAAATTCATTTATTCAACAAGGACTTATAGAGGGTCTCTGAGGTGTCACTCACTCTTCTAAAAAGTTGAAAAATATCAATAAAAGAAGCCCATTCAGATCTCTGTTCTCATGAATCTTACATTCCAGCAACATGAAAAAGACAAACAAAAAACATAAATAAGTTATATAACATGTTAAAAGGTAGTAAGTGACATGAAAATACCAGTTTGTGTTTTCAAAATTTTATACTATCACTTGACAATTCTCACTCAGAAAGTTAAGTAATATTATATAAAGCAATCAAAATGCTTTCTGACTACATAACTGAAAGAGAACTATTCCAACAACCCTTTCTGGAAGCACCCTCAATGATATTTACTACTCTGAACACAGATTGCTGTTCATCTCCCAGAAGGAGAATAAAGACCTTTCACTGCCTTTCATTTTTAAGTATAAATCCAAAAGCTGGCAATAGATAAAGTCCTGCCCTTGTCATGTTTATTTCTGCTGCTTGCATCTGGATTGGTTGTGGTGACACATAGCAAAAGCATCCAAGGTTGACATCACAGCACTTTTCCCTCTGGTACATTTTTGACAATGTCAAATTTTCTTCTCTTTTTTCTTTTTCCTTTTCTTTTTCCTTTTCTTCTTCTTCTTCTTCCTCTTCTTTCCTCCTCCTCCTCCTTCTTCTTCTTCTTTTTTTTTTTTTAGCTTCTGTTCCTGACTGCTATGTGAAAAACCACTAATTTCTTTGATATATCAAAGTTTGGAGTTCACTGCTGATATTAAGATGAGAAATCTCATATTAATACTGTGTCAGGAAGCAAGCTAGAATCTCTCAGTGAAGTGAGAGGTATACACATGCATCTGCCCTTCATCAGTCTGTTCAGTTAAACTCAGATGGTCCCAATCTCCAACAACATCTAGATATAGCTATAAAAATAAAAATTGTCATTGCTCTGTCTTCCTTGCAAGAAATGTATACTATCCACATGCTAGGATAAAGCAAACTTTCTTTTAAAGTGACCTAAACTATCGAATAGAAGGAAGACACAAGGCTTTCCAAATTCACAACATCTCACCACACCAAATATGAATTTCCTTAACTGACTGGTTGGAAATCTTCTATGTCATCACAGTGGGAAACATCAAGAATGCTTTTATCACTCATAACCATGACCTAATGAATCATCTATTTCTTTTTTTCTTTGCAATATCAACTTCAAGAAAACACAATTTCAGAGATTCTTTCCAATATATTCTGTCATTCTAAACTAAATAACTTTATTTTTGTATTATAATTTATATATAAATTATACTAAATATCTATAAATAAATATATATTTATAGGTAATTTATATCACATTTATATATAGTATAAAATATATATTTA